CCCCAAAACCCCAAAACCCCAAAACCCCTGGAGGAAATCAGGAGATTGATAATAGATTATTAATAAAAATGGTAAGAGTGAAAAGTGCATAATTTAGTTTGATGGTGTTTATGAGGTTAGATGATATCTAGAGTCGTTTTAAAGGTATTTATTGAGTGCAAATTTGAATTTTGAACTATGAGGTTATAATTAAGCGGGGCTTTGTATTGTTTATAGCTAATTTTTAGGAGTGACAATTAATGGGCGAAGATATAATGAGTGAAAAAGTTCTGAACGAGAAGAAAAGACAACCTTAGCATCTAAAAAAATCTCAGGATTAATAAGCTTCAAAATTTTAATGATTCTTAAATTAATATTGATGTGAGTTCATATTGCAAAATAATCGTCAATCCAATGACCTAACACTGTAACAATTTCAAATCCTGAGTACCTTATATACACAACTTTCAACACCACAGACACCACATTTTCTCCCATAAAGGCTACTCTAGGCCCTTCAGGAGCAACTTACTATGCTTCTGCTTCAGGGACGCAAACTGTAGTATTTGGCAAAGAAGACACCACCGGAAATATCGTGTGGTCGAAGTCCTATAACCCCTTAAAAATCTTTCAGAAGGGATTCATGATATCATGGGATGAAGAAGCACTTTATGCCATGAGTGACTCAAGCACCACTAGCATAGCCATCAACAAGATAAGCCCCTCTACTGGAGAGCTTGTTAAAGAATACGAAGAGTAAGTTACTCCTTATTTTTAAATCCAGAATTCAGAATTTTATAATATTAATACTTTCTTTTTCTTAGAATTTTTCAGAAAATTATGAAGAGTAAAACATTTATGCAAAGCATACCAAATCAATAGGATGACTAGCAGATAACTTTCATTTTTTCGTTCTCATTCACACATTCTTGAAATATTCAAATAGATTGCATAAAGTTTTCTATAAAATTCCATATTTCAAATAAAAAAATTATTTAATAAAAGAAATCTGAATTTTCCTAGGAAGACAATTAATAACTTTATAGGACTAACCACAGAAGTTATGCAAGTTCCAGAACAATGTGGAGCAAATTTCAGTTATCTCCTGATAATACGGTGATGTTCTATACAGCAGTAACTTCAGCTCATAAAGGAGTGCTATGAAAATTTACAGTAACTGGCACAACTTCTGATTGTTTTGAAGCTGGAAATTTACAAGACTTGACCACTCTTTTGTATGTAAACTCTACACATTTATTCATCACAGCAAGAGATATTAGCACATACAGACCGATAATTGCCATGGTTGAGTGGGGCCAGGCTACTCCTGCCTGGCAAAATAGAAGAGGCTGTTACCCAGCAAATAATTGTAAAGTCAGACTTGGAAGTGCCATGCTGAGTGCAGACAAAACAAAAATCTATAGCTTTTTCGCTCAAAACTCGTAGGTTTAAAATTTACCAATTTAGAAATCGATACCTCACATTCGCAATATATAAAGTTGATACTGGAGCCATAGTAGGCCAGAGGTATACATCAAATTTGAATGGCATCCAAGGATGATGGGATGTACAACTTCGTAGTGATATTCTCTACTACCTTGTATATCAAAACTCATATGCAGAACTCTACACTTACAATATAGCTTCTGATAGCTGGCTTGATTATTTCAGAACAGATCCACCATTCGGAAGCCTTCTCGAAAACAGCCAAAGAGATGTGTAAACTTACAGCTTTGATTTATAGAATTATTGTGTATGGACAGAAAAATAATAAAACATATAAAATAAGATTTTACAAAAGTGTGTCGAATTTATAACTTTTAGAAAATGCCACAACACATGAATCAGTCTCTGCATCAACGTATAGCATGGTAGCTGCAAATGCAGCTCATTCAGAAGAAGTAGGGAGATCCTGGATCACTTTTGGTTCAATCTACAATGTTGCAATGACTGAATATGATTCTTCTAATGCTACAGAAACAATTTCAGATGTTCAGTTTATCATTGACAACACAAACAGCTGGGAGACAAACATTTTTGAAAATGCTAGAGCCTCGATTGTTAATTTCACTTCTGAGGATAAAATATCTATTGATCCAAACTGAACATGAACTACCACTCCTGAAAGAACTGATGTCACATATGCTATTGAAAATAATAATGGAGAGACCATCCCAGACTGGATTGAATTGAATATGACATTAAAGAAATATGAAGGTATTGCTCCTAATGTTACTAGTACTACTAATTATACCCTTGTATTGAAATCAACTTGAACAACTAAGCCAGCAGGAAGCTCTTAGCAAATAGTCACATTTACAATCGCTCCAAAGCCAGTATCAAATGCAACTGAACCTGAAGAAGAGCTGATTGCTTTGTCTTCAGCCGTTGCTGCAGTAACAGCAGGTTCTGGAGGTGGAATTATAGCGGCAGTTGTAAATTCTATAGCTAATGTTAGTCCTCCTATTGCTGTATACTTTATACTTCAGCAACTTCAGTTATTTTATTATTAATGATAGATCCATACATTCCAAACTCGACGAAAGCCTATCTCGAAGGCCAAAGTGTTGCTTTAGTTAATTTCAATTTTATCCCGACTACTGGGGTTTTGGGGTTTTGGGGTTTTGGGGTTTTGGGG